TATAACACAGCTTGTACTTAAAAAATATCGGTTTAATGGCCATTAGCCTCCAATGTTATTTTAGCGTGGGGGAGATTCTTCTGTTTTGTTTTTTGGGTTTTCTTTTATGAATATTTCGGCACTTTCGTATGAAACATAAAATACATACATACATGCAAAAATATCGGGGGTACTTTTATTTTAAAAACAACTATTAATCTTATGTATTCTCATTTAATTACTTCTATATATTGGATATTTCAGACGATCATATACTTGAAATGTATTTTTCTTACAGCCAACGGAGCAAAGGGAAATAACGGAAGATGATTTATTTCATTTGGAACACGCAGATCCCTGTCATTCTGTGCGCGAAGAAGACTCCAATATTGAGAAGCAAACAGCGTCAGAATTGTGTAACCGACTTGTTGAGGTGTATCGGAGATCTAAATTTTATTCTGACAAGAAAGGGTACCTGTGTCCGAACCCCAAGGCAATAGGTTGCAAGGATGCCCCCCTCGACACCAGACACCATTGCATGGTTGAAATCTCGGGTTTTATCTACAACAGTCATTATCGCCTGTGGTGGTGCATCGAGGACAGCTATGAAAAGTTCCTGAAGAAGCCGGTGTACGGTGCGATGTACCCCGTTTCGCGAACACCGAGAGCTGAACCACAAATCACGCGAAAGGAAGCAACGGAACCTCCCCGCCGAAAAGGGCGAGGGAGTTCTCAAAGTCCTCCGAGGTCTGAACGTGGTCGCGCGCCTTCTCAAAGTTCCTCTGGCACCTCCTGGTTCAGCAAAACTAAGAGAAGTAAGAGCCATAGTCCGATTCGACAACCCCTTTTGTGCAACTTTTCAGGCCGGTAAAAGTGTTCAAAAATATGATTGATTTTCTCGAGTTATTACATGCACTAGCTATGTATTAGGGACTGTAAGCGTGAGATTATCCCACACTGGAAAAAAAAAAAAAAAAAAACACATTGGATCAAAATTTCAAAAAAAAAAAAAAAAAAAAAAAAAAAAAAAAACACATTGGATCTAGAGTCCTGCAGACTCTTGAAAACATTGACAAGAAAAAATACTCTTGATTCAATCGGATTTTTGCTTGAATCAAAACGAAATCCGCATAAATTAAGAGGCTTGGTTCTTGATTTAAGCTAGATTCTGATTGAATCAAGAGTAATTTTTCTTGTCGATGTTTTTAAGAGTCTGGACTTTGGATCTAATGTGTGTTTTTTTTTTCCAGTACAGAGACAAAAGACCCTCCACTGCCCTTTTCGTGACAAGTGGAAGCTTTTACTTTCGGGGATTCAACACTCCCCTATGGACAATTATACTAATATCACTAATTTTCGGGAAAAGTTTTGAATATTTCTCTGCCGATTTCTTAGATAATTTTGTTGTAATTTGCTCTAAAGTGTCTGAAAATTTCAAGGGAAAATATGCACAATTTTCCTCCGAAATAAACATTTTGTCGTATAGGAAATTTGGCAACTCTCGAATGTTCATACGGCGTTCTTCCGTAGCACGGCAGTATAAGGGAGCAAAGTCATCACTCTTTTTTCGGCTGTTTACCTACCTACATGGTGGATGATGAGCTTCGGGTGCCGACATGAGCCAAACAAGTTTTCCAAACTTCGGCTTGATTGCATAACGGAACTGCCAACATGTTGTCGAACATCAACAATGTAGGTAAGTCAACATTTGAATGTTAAAATCCCGAAAGTAAAAGCTTCCACCATAGCCGAAATACGAGTGGAGGGTCTCTCGTCACTGGAATATCCCCCCAGGCATATTTGAAGTGTAAGGGGGAAAACAATGATTCGAATGAAAATGATGATCAACTTGTATTGAGGTAAATTCATAGAAAAAATGGGGAAAGAGGGGGAAACACATTAAAAATATGGCCGAGAAATGTAACTATCAGGATGGTAGGATAGTGCCGGGCCCATGGGTCTGAAAGGAAATCAAGCTGGAAAAAAAAAATAAAATAGAATCTCATTTACCATGAACTTTAATGCGTCTAGGCTCATGACGCAGGGAGGGAGAGATTCGGCTCAGGCAGATTCATTGAGGATACGTTCAGTGAATTTATGAACATCAATGGTGAAAGTTCCGAACTACCTACGGATCTCGATAATGGTGTTTAACAGTTCCCGCACATACCTACTTTAATTCTGCATATGAAACCTGCTCGCTATTTTTGAGCAAAATTGTATTATGTCAGAATATTTTTGAAAGATCAGAGAAAAATCGGACGAATTTTAGTGCAAAAATGATGATCAGGTCTCATTTAAAAAAGTGAGGTTTGAATAATGTGTAACGTCAAAAGGACTACATTTTGCAATTTAGACCTATAGATTCTAGCCCGGTTTAAAAACAACGTAAGTGCCATTAGGTTCCCTATACACATACGTGTTTTTCCAGAAGAGCCAGAATTTATATTTCCAAATTGCAAAATGCAGTCCAAAAGGGATACCTGCACTGGTCGTTTCACTGCACCGTCGTTTATGTGGTTTGTTGCGTGATGCACATAGGAATTCTAAGAAAATATACAGGAAATTAATCATGAATATTGAGTTCTCGTATAAAATGTGTTTATTCATGTAGTATGTTTCTATTATAAGCTCAAAGAATAAAAATTGCGGAATTGAAACAATATTGTTTTGTTGATCAATCTCTTTTAAGAGATCTCAGTTACTAAAAATATCCCTCTGTACTTAAAATCTTGAAAATAGATAGAAATTTTCCAAGAGGTGTATACTTCTTTGAAAGTTTAAGAAGAATTCTAAAGTGTCCCAGCGTGTTTCTGAAAATCTATTCATCTTTTGCGAAATTTTTAGGGTAAATTTTTCACTTTTTCTTACGAAACAAAGGTTGCATGTGAATTCGTAGTGGTTTTTCACGGGTAACACGGGCCCCGGTCCCCCGTATCCCTTCCTTGTGGCGGGCCGGATGGTAGTTGTGACCTAACATTCTATCACCTCTCCTATTCGATCGATTTTTATGAACACTGGTAAAAATAACACACTGGATCTAGAGTCCAGACTCTTGAAAACATTGACAAGAAGATGGGTCATAGGACATTTCGTCAATGAATTTTTGTCCGCGCACCTGTTTTTGCCGGTAATTTACGTCCACGCGTTTTTTCGGCACGGGAGTTTTGGTCCACGTGCCAGCTGAGACTCTAAGTTAATTGGCCCACATGTAAATAAAAACGACAATTGCTCACGACGTTTTTGGATGAAAATGTAAAATGTCTTGGAAGAATGAGGGTTTGCTTGTTGTTTTGTTTTGTCTGTTTGGTCCAACGGAGAATAATATACAGTTGAGAGTTTTAGTAAAAATGGGGGAGCGTCAATTTCATGGGAAAAAATTCACTAAAACTCTCTACACCGCTTTGGTGTAATAGGACTTAATTATCTTTCAAGATTTTCCCACCTTATTAAACCTGAACCGGATAAACCTCTATATTTGCCTCAGCTAAAGGCTCTTAGATTTTTCCAGTGTACGATAAGTATCTTGATTTATTTTGCGAGGAAAGTTCTGTACTTTTAAAGGATGCCTGTCATTCTTAATACGTTCAATTTTGTATAATACTGTGCAACACCTCTGTTGTGAAATAGTTGCTTCAGGCGCCGCCGCACGGCGGGCGGGTGGGCGGCAACGCGAAACGCGCATTGGCGCCTACAAACCTAAGTGGATACTTCACGCGGTGTGCAATGCGTGAAGTATCCACTTAGGTTTGTAGGCGCCAGTGAGCCTCTCTCGCTGGCAGCACGCCGCTCATTAGGCTTTAATAATTATACTCGTATAGTCAGCGTTTTTTAACTCAAGATTTTGAAATGTTTACACACTCTCCATGGATTATTCTCATTTAAATTGATGGGGGAAAAATATGTATCATTTTATCAAAGGAGAATAATAATATAATGTGTGTTTTCTTTAAATATTGGTTGTTTCGTGTCAAATTTATTGATTTCCAAAGCACTTTAATTTTTTCTTTTATATTTTGTGCTTTTCTTATGCTGCAGCAAGGTGTGCGCGCAACCAAACGCTCAAAATTTGACGTTTAGACTCTAAAAGATTGATGTACAAATGGGTTAAAACCAAAGATTGCGTGCTTCTTAGTTTTTTTCCCTCTTTTATTCATTTCTGCAGTTTCTTTCGGCACAGCTGCGGCTTATTGAGATTAATGTCGCTTGGAAAAGGTTTTACAAATATTTGTCATGTTTTAAAAATACCTATAAATGTTTTCAAAATGAGGTAATATTTTCGTAAAGAAAAAATAAAAAAAAGTACCTATACACATATAGGGTATATTGTACATCGAATATTTTAAGGATGGAAATAAAACCAAATATTCACCAATGACAATTTAAAAAGATGATTCAAAAGGACAAAGTAATACCATTTCATTTAGAAAATGAGCAACCATAACAACGCCTCCTTCTCTCTCAAATTCTCATTTCCATATCGTCAGTATAATTTTAAATACCGACTTAAATATAACGCTTGGATCAAGTCACCGTTGCTTATTTTACGTGTGGGCGTAAACAACTGGACAAAAAATCGTTGACAAAATGTCCTGAAACCACAAAAAGGACTCTTGATTCAATCAGATTTAAGCTTAAATCAAAAGGACATCCGCTCAAATTAAGAGGCTTGGTTCTTGATTTAAGCTTAAATCTGATTGAATCAAGAGCATTTTTTCTTGTCGATGTTTTTAAGAGTCTGGACTCTTGGTCCAATGTGTTTTTTTCCCACTAAAACATGATGCCAGGAGTTACTTTTTGACGTAAAACCCGAATTTTTTGTAAAATTTTCCAAATTCAAAAATTCAAGATGGCGGAAGTGGCTTAGAATACTATCGAGGCACCCTGGCAATAATTGAAGGGTGAATCTACTAAATCTCAGGTATTTAAAGTTCTGCACTCCACTTGCCGTATTTTAGAGGTCGTCACAACGTGCCTTCATAACTTGATTCACACAGATGTAAGAGACGGAAATGAAATCATATTTTTGGAAAAATAATTTATTTTTGGAAATAATACAAAATATCAATTTTTATGCACAAAATGGAAACAGCAAAAGACATACAATTAATACTTACTTTGTTGATTTCTTACAGGTTTATAGTTTTCTCTTCCGTGCAGTGCCTTCTTATTGAGCTCAAACGCGGCATATTAATTATTTTCGTAGACTATAATTTACTATTTACAATACACAGCCTGTACAATTTACACGGTTATTAGAGACATGCACATACTTAGGAGAATTATTAGAACATTTCAAATGAGATGGGTTTGATTGAACGAGCGCCGCGGAGGGTTAAATGTGTTCGAATAGAAGTTTCTGCTTCAAAATTTCTCTGATGTTAATCAAACGTAAATGAGTTCATTTTGCGCTTTACCTTTTTAAAAAAATCAGCATTAGGAAAGGAGTAATCTCCAGCAGCTTTACGTTTTACTTTTGGAGCTGTTCATACAGCGTTATGAGCCGAATGGACGGTGTCCAATATCTGTCGTGCTGTTCGGCTCATGTAACCGCTTTCTCGGTTCTGGGCACCGTATCCTCGGCTCATGCAACCGAGTTTTTTATGGTTCGGCTTGGTCTGAAAGCTCGGTTGAACCGAGCACGGAAGAAACGATGTAGTGCTGTGCACTAACTGTTTGGATCAAATTGAGCCAGCTGATATGGCAGTACTGCTGAGACCTACAGTTTTTAGGGCTTAAGTTTTAGGGCTTAGCGCTACTGCCATACTAGCTGGCTCCATTTGATCTAAACAGTTAGTGCTCAGCACTATACAGTTTTTTCCGTGAGGACACAGTTCCTAGAACTGAGAGAGATTTTTCATGAACCGAACAGTGTGGCTAATATAAACACCTTACTTCCGGTTGATATGACCGAACTATTTTTTTTTCGGTGCAGCGCGTCCCAGAAACACAGACTTTACTCCCCAAAATCCATCCAAGTTATGGTAAAATTGTTATCGCATTGGTTTTCGAGAGAGCGGAATAATGCTGATACGATTCCTCTAGAATGTGAAATTAAATGGATCAACTAATGGAAATATATTCAAAGTACCGACTAAACAGACAGAGATAGTGAAAGTGTTAGATTATACAAGCAAATGCAAATGAGAACAAAACAGTAATAACGTCATCTTGTTTTACGAAATATTGACACGTTTTAATGCATGTTTGAATTTTTTAAGCTTGAACTATATACGTGGCAAATTTATTTTGCCGGCAGATGTTTATTTGATTCACCTATCTGACTATATGAAATGGCAATTCATGAAAACCATCAATACAAATGACGCTGGAAAAAAATTCATAGAAGCGGATGTACCAAAATGTCGCAATCTGCTTTAACACTTGTGTCATTATTTTGAGTAACGTTTGCGGAAATGTAAACTGAAAAAAAGAAAATCTGTGTAGTGTTCGGTTGGAGAAAATATTGATGAAAACTCACAGGAATTTTAGAACACTTATCCTCATTCGAACGAATGAACTTAATACATTATCTCTCACTTTGACAGTCAATTCGAATCATTCAAATTATCGGTCGGGTTTCATCACCGGGTGGAGGATTTTCTTGATTAATGAGTAGAGTTCCTAAAAGGAATCTTGCGAAGCCCACCATAGCTTTACTATGTAAATGAACCTTCATTCCCCGGGAAACTTGCTTCGAGTATAACATTTTTCCAACTAGGGCAGAGAGTAAGAAGAAGCAAAAATAAGTCGGAGACATAAGATTATCCTATGAAATTCATTTTTCATTTCATATATGTACAATTTCTCATTATCATCCTTTTTGCATCGTTAATGTCAAAAGAAACTTTCTATTAAATACATTCCTTCATTGCGTCTTAAAATTTGTGCATTATTTCCTCTCGCCATGCTACTCGTATTTGCCTGCAGACTCAATCTCAATGAAAATGACCCCAAGACTTTTAACTCGACTAACCATGAGCATTATTTGGACCACATTTTGCAATAAGGAACTACTATTTCTGCCTCATTTTAGAAACGACATATATTTCATTGGTTTCCATATGCAGAAAAGGGCTTTTATAGAAGAGCCAAAGATAAAACGTAATCAATTTATAAGAGACTCTGCTGAAACCTCGATAACAGAGGATCCTCTACCCATCTTCCTCAGGGCCTGCGTCCAAGAAGTAAGTCTCCATATCACCTTTGCCTTTGACCTCTATATGCCCTCTGTACGTTAGTTTATAGCCCCTCTCCTTCAATATCTGATACACCTCCTGCGTAACTTGAATCTTATCTATGACCCCCGTTGAGTCCATCCTGCTCGCGATGTTAACGGCGTTACCCCAGATATCGTACTGCGGCTTCCGGGCGCCGATAACGCCGGCCACCACCGGGCCGATGTTGATGCCGATCCGAATCTTAAAGCTATTGAAGGAATGTTCGTTCACGTAAGCCAGCTGCTGCTTGATCCTGAAGGCGTAGTCGGCCATGGCGAGAACGTGGCTCATGTTCTCGAGGTCGCACGTGTTGCGGGTCAACCCGGCGGCGGCCATGTACGTCGCCCCCGTCGACTTGATCTTCTCGATGCAGTGGAACTTCTCCTCGCTCAGGAGCTCGTCGAAGTCGGCGATGATCTCGTTCAGGAGCCGGAGACACTCGACGCCCTCGTTGTTGGCCTCCAGCTCGACGTAGAACTCGGAGAAGTTGGGTATGGAGGCGAACATGATGCAAACGGACTCGCACTGCTCGTGGTAGAGTTCGTCCGACTGCTTGTCGGCGGCCAGGAAGTGTTCCGCGACGTGGACCGGGAGGATGTTGGCGAGGAGCTTCCGGTTGTAGGCCTCGAGGTGCTCCATTTCCTCCTTCTCCTCGGTGGCTTGGAGCTTCCACAGGAAGTCGAGCCGGTAGGTGGCTTCGGTCTGCCTGCTGTGGATCACGAGGGCGGCCACCAGGCCGGAGATCATGACGAAGGTGAGGAGCTTGGATTTCAGGTCCTGCTCCTCGCCCACGCACGTGTAGACGAGACTCGAGAGGACGTACGGGAAGAAGACCAAGGACAAGAGGATGAGCTTGACCAGGCTGACGATGATCTGGTAGACGGCCGTCATGACCATTATCAGCTGGACGCAGTAGCTGATGAAATATATGGTGCTCGGTCCCGGCGGCCGGTCGTCGAGCGGCAACTCGGAGGTTAGGTCCAAGCTGGCGTTGACGGAACTGTTTTCGGTGAAGTTCGGACCGATTGAGCAAAGGTCCGCCCTGTGGAGGAACATCGGCACCGTGCTCACGGCGTAGATCACAGAGATTAGCGAAACGGCCACTATCTGCGCCACCGTTCGGGATTTGTGGATCCTCTCGGAGACTCCCCGCACGGATTCCGGCAGCTTTTTCACCTTCTTCGCCAGAATTAGGAAATTGACTAGGATTAGAACCACCCATTCGATGACCAGACTCCCGATGAGGAGTCCTGTCACCGGGAACACGATGAGCTGGACGATGGATATGGCCAGGTGGACGTAGATAGAGCAAAGGAAGTAGGTCGATAGCATGCGGTCTTTGGCCACGCCGTATTTTCGCTCGACGTTTTTGTCGATGAAAGTGAGTAGGAAAGGCCGGCAGTGCTCCGAGCGGAGTCTGTCGATACTTCTGGCGTCGATAGCTCGCATTAGATACTCGTTCACTTCCTCCTCCGTGCTTTTCGACTGGGAACTTTCACGCCAACCTCCGAGCCTGAAACATGGGAGCGCTTCGCGTCAGATAAAATCGTTTGAAAGTTTCCTCGTGGGAGGAAACTTGTAAAAATTGTGTAAAAATAATCCTGACGCGTGGGCCGGGTTCTAAAAGTTATTTATGGCAATTAGAAAAGGTTGAAGTACCAGAGGCTGAACTTTTTGCAGTGTCTTTCGTTCACCTTAGATGGAGGTATAAGTCTAGTGATCTACTGGTCATCAAAATTTCTGGCTCTAAAACTTAAAAATAAATAAATAAGTAATAGCGAGGATAAAAATTTAAGGATTAGCATAGGCTCTTGTTCTAGTCTTACATTTTTTTCAGATATAATAGACTTGTTGGTAATTTTTCAATTTTCATCTTAGGTACTCCATTTTTATTTAACGGTAAAAACGAATAAAAAATCGAATAGCATGAATTAAAGTAGTAAAACCATCGAGTTACTTGGATATTTCAAAATCGCGCCGTCTTTTTCTGCCTTGAAACTCATTCCTCGACCCTTCCCGATCAAACTCAAACCCAGTCGCCTCTCTTCCACAGTAAAAGTGAATCCAGGTTTTTAATGCGTTACCTGTTTGTCGGAATGAGAGGCCCGAAATAATAAAAGCCAGGAAGGACTGATTAAAAAGATTGTTTTTATAAGCAAACAAAAAATGAGTTTTGTCAAACACGTGCATGGTTATCACTGAGCATAATGGAACCTCTCCTCTCCCTCACAAAAAAGCATCAGTTCGGCACAAAAACGTATCTACCAACCAACCACTCACTTTTTGAGTGTTTCGGGTTATAATATTTTCCACTTCACCACACCATTGCTATTCCATTATGAAATTTAAGTCGTTAAAATTTCTGAGACGTTTTTCCCCTTCAGAAGAACCAGTATTCGTTCAGAACAGTGATAGCTAAAGTGCTTTTCAATTCATTCAAGGCCTTGAACAACTCAGAAATGTACCTACTTAGGACCTTTTCTCCTATGACCGCTGTGACCCATCACTCGAAGCTCCTTTGCAATGTCGCCATTCAATTTTACGCGGCTTGGCCTTTGACTGTATTCATTCTGAAAAACACGAATACATAATTTACATTACATACTTATGATTAAAATTCTCATTCCATTATCCGAGTGGCATTATGACCTGAAGTGATTAAAAGGACTCAAAATTTAACGAAGTTATTAATGAGATACCTGATAGAGAATTTGCAGGTGTTTGAAATTTGATGGATTTCGTCTTTAAATGGGAACTGCTGAGTGAACTGAACACGAGGATACCCTTGGTTCGTGAATTAAACAATCATTAGAGAAGATATGACAAAAGTATCTAATCTGCTAAAATACATGTGTTTGAATGGGAAATGCCGCCAGATGACGTCACTAGGCGGTGCATTTTCTCACATTTAAATCTATTTTTATAATATTTCCCATATCAGAAAAAAACTTAAAAAAATACTGTGGAATCAGCTCTTTNAACTCGGAGGTTAGGTCCAAGCTGGCGTTGACGGAACTGTTTTCGGTGAAGTTCGGACCGATTGAGCAAAGGTCCGCCCTGTGGAGGAACATCGGCACCGTGCTCACGGCGTAGATCACAGAGATTAGCGAAACGGCCACTATCTGCGCCACCGTTCGGGATTTGTGGATCCTCTCGGAGACTCCCCGCACGGATTCCGGCAGCTTTTTCACCTTCTTCGCCAGAATTAGGAAATTGACTAGGATTAGAACCACCCATTCGATGACCAGACTCCCGATGAGGAGTCCTGTCACCGGGAACACGATGAGCTGGACGATGGATATGGCCAGGTGGACGTAGATAGAGCAAAGGAAGTAGGTCGAGAGCATGCGGTCTTTGGCCACGCCGTATTTTCGCTCGACGTTTTTGTCGATGAAAGTGAGTAGGAAAGGCCGGCAATGCTCCGAGCGGAGTCTGTCGATACTTCTGGCGTCGATAGCTCGCATTAGATACTCGTTCACTTCCTCCTCCGTGCTTTTCGACTGGGAACTTTCACGCCAACCTCCGAGCCTGAAACATGGGAGCGCTTTGCGTCAGATAAAATCATTTGAAAGTTTCACCGTGGGAGGAAACTTGTAAAAATTGTGTAAAAATAATCCTGACGCGTGGGCCGGGTTCTAAAAGTTATTTATGGCAATTAGAAGAGGTTGAAGTACCAGAGGCTGAACTTTTTGTAGAGTCTTTCGTTCACCTTAAATGGAGGTAAAAGTCTGGTGATCTACTGGTCATCAAAATTTCTGGCCTCTAAAACTTAAAAATATTTAAATAAGTAATACCGAAAATAAAAATTTAAGGATTAGAATTTACTCTTGTTCTTGTCACATATTTTTTCAGATAAAGTAGACTTTTTCGGTAATTTTTCCATTTCCATCTTAAGTACTCCATTTTTATTTAACGGTAAAAAAGAATAAAAAATCGAAAAGCAAAAATTAAAGTAGTAAAACCATCGAGATATTCGGATATTTCAAAATCGCGCCATCTTTTTTTGCCTTGAAACTCATTCCTCGACCCTTCCCGATCAAACTCACACCCAGTCGACTCTCTTCCACAGTAAAAATGAATCCAGGTTTTTAATGCGTTACCTGTTTGTCGGAATGAGAGGCTCCAAATAATAAAAGCCAGGAAGGACTGATTGAAAAGATTGTTTTTGTAAACAAACAAAAAATGAAATGGCATGTTTCAGTGTCATACAAGTTTTGTCAAACACGTGCATGGTTATCGCTGAGCATAATGGAACCTCTCCTCTCCCTCACAAAAAAGCGTCAGTTCGGCACAAAAACGTATCTACCAACCAGCCACTCACTTTTTGAGTGTTTCGGGTTATGATATTTTCCACTTCACCACGCCATCGCTATTCCATTATAAAATTTAAGTCGTTAAAATTTCTGACACGTTTTTCCCCTTCAGAAGAACCAGTATTCGTTCAGAACAGTGATATCTAAAGTGCTTTTCAATTTATTCAGGGCCTTGAATAACTCAGGAATGTACCTACTTAGGACCTTTTCTCCTATGACCACTGTGACCCATTACTCGAAGCTCCTTTGCAATGTCACCATTCAATTTCACGCGGCTTGGCCTTTGACTGTATTCATTCTGAAAAACACGAATAAATAATTTGCATTACACAATTATGAATAACATTCTCATTCCGTTATTCGAGTGGCACTAAGACTTAAAGTGATTAATGAGATACCTAATAGAGAATTTGCAGGTGTCTGAAATTTGATGGATTTCGTCTTTAAATGGAAACTATCGAGTAAACTAAACACGAGGATACCCTTGGTTCGTAAATTTAACAATGATTAGAGAAGATATGACAAAATGATCTAATCTGCTAAAATACATGTGTTTAAATGGGAAATGCCGCCAGATGACGTCACTAGGCGGTGCATTTTCTCGCCTTTAAATCTATTTTTATACGATTTCCCATGTCAGAAAAAAAAATTGAAAAAAAATACTGAGGTATCAGCTTTTTAAGCACTTTCAGATGAAAAAATAAAAAAAAAATTGCATGCAAATTCTCCATTCTCTCGATATGGGATGAAACAATGAACTTTGTAAAAATGACATGTCCCTCGGAGACAAAAACAACTCTTAAAGATATTCAATTGATAATGAGGTGTCATATATTTTCAATATTAAGCCCGATGATACGATCCGGGAATATAAAAAAAAACAAGGGTTAAAAAATGAAGCTTCAAGATCCCCCTGAAATTTAATTCGAAACAATATATAAACTGCCCTCCCGCAAGCGCGCGGTCAATGCTACGAATCATCCCGAAAGAGGTGAAGCTTAATTGCTCGAAGGACGGCGTGATTATTCAAAAGATAATAGCCGCCCTTTTCATCGAGGACCGGGCCGAATGGCTACTGGAAGGGGGCGCGGAGTAAATACGCCTCCAGCGTGACGCCCCCCCCCTCCTCGCGGCACAACGCCCGGATCGGGAAACTGATGAGGCGTGAAAGGCGATATTTCTGGTGAGAAAACAGCCGCGGCCGAAAATACCCCGATTCCATTCGGATTCGCCCGGGAGCGGAGAGATTACGGCCGTATTTTTAGGGGCTCCGATGAAATTGAAAATCTGGGCAATTCCAGACGTATCAATCATATTCCGGTGGCGTCGCGTCGAGTCCCCGGGTCGAGCACCGCGCGAAATTGCGTGTGTTATTGCGCCGAGTCAACACCAGTAAATGTTGATCGGAATCTAGTGCAAACCGCATTGAGCCGCGCGAGTCACGAGTTGACGGATCTATGGAAATTCGGTGGCGAATTATTGTGTCGTTGCCGATGTTCGGATATGAATTAAAATGCAGATGGGAAACTTTTGAATATTTTGGAATGTTTTTAAAAATAAAGGGAAGTGCCAATAAAAATAATGTTGATTCTACATTCATAACACACAGGACGATAGAAAAGTGCTGGGTCTGTGCAGTTTAAAGGGAAATTAAGACCAGTAGACGCAATATTTAGAATTCTACATTTTGATCGCGTTTAGCAGAAAGGAACCAAGCCATATCAGCTATTGCAAAAAGCTGGGCAATATAATTTTTTAAAAGAGAACGTTTTTGCAGATTTTTTGAAAATTTTAAGGAAAAATATTACGAAGCAACGTAATATGCAGAAAATTCACTGAAATTTGCCCGAAAATCCGCACAACCGTTTTCATGTAAAACATTTTTCCCGATTTTTGGCGATAGTTAAAGTGGCTAAGTTCATTTCTGCTTAATGCGGTCTATTTAAGATCGGATAGTGCTGAGTCCACATGTTTTAAGGGAAAATTAAGGCCCGATTGCTCAAATATTAGAAAAGTAGTATAGTGTGACTGACGAGCACAATTAAAAGGTAAATCAATATAAGTCTCACGAAAGGACCCGAGCAAGAATTTCCAACGCAACTGCCTGAGTTTCCTCCCTTCAGTCTTGAAACTAACTGGCAGTCATTGAGCCTGTAATCCAATTTTTTTCTTTTTCTTTTTCTTCTGTTTTTTTTTTCTTTTTTCTCTCTTCTTTTCTTACGCTCGAGTAGTAACGCCCAGCACTATATTCTATCGTCATGTTTTCTACAGTATTCGGGGCGTTTTTTATTGTTGTTTTTCTCGTTATATACGGCTGAAATCGTTTTTTTCTGACTCCCTGACTCACGTTCCAAAGGCACAACTTTGACTAGCACCCAAGAGGAAAAAATGCAATTTCAAGGACTTTATCGATGAAAAAGTGCGAAACCACGTAACTCTGTTTGCGACGTGGCAGACTTCCTGTCATGCTTTATTTTTACTTTGGAAAGCCGATCAACGTAATTCCTTGATTTTTCATCTCAGTCAGTAGAATATTCTGTATGAATTTCAAGCTATAATGATAAGTTGTTTCTCTTCGAAAAAATAATAGAGAAGCGGGAATTTTGAAATACCGCAATAGAGATACGTGGTTTTGCACTTTGGCCATAGATATGCTTGTCGTAGAAAGGATTAAAAATAAAACTTCTCAGACACACAATCAATCCGGTGAACCTTTTGGCATTCCGAGGAAAACTCACTGTAAGTTGAAAAGTTTCATGGAATATGACGCAAACAAACATGAACTTCAAATATTGAGGCAAAAACAAGCCCTATTGTTCATTCTGTCAATTTTTCAAGAGATACAGCCGTCCTAGAAGGTTTTTCTGGAGGAACAATTGCACAGAAATACGTGCAGCCTATAAAAAACGTCTAAAAAACTATGCTCATTCCTTAATGCACAAGTTTTTAGTTCATATCGCTCATTTTCCGCGTCCTCAGACACTTTTTCTCGGTCACGGCAATCAGGTTTACTCAAAAACAAATTGAAGAAGCAAAACTAGATGGTCGAACAATTTTTTGAATGGCTATCAATCTTTCTCACTTATAAAATCGATTGTTTGCAGGCGTTGGTTTTTTATCATCAAAAAATCAAAACATGCAAAAGATGATGCTTTAAAACGATTAAAAAATTTTCATATCGGCTTATATGGACACTCTAGGTACTTAGGTGCTTGGAGAAAGAAATCCTATAGTGCTGATGGCTGCTGTGGGCTTAACAATGTATTTTGAACACTCCCATCTTGTGAGTACATTTGTATTGCTGCGAGTACGAGAAAATCTATGGACCTCTAGTTTTCTGCGGATCCAGCAGTGGCACATCCACTGACACGGTATGATTGCTTCAGGCGTGACTCAATGACTTCCACCCAGTTCCGAAATAGAATGGACCAATTTCTTAGTGCGCTTTCTCGGCTCAGAGCTTTTTCCACTTTGAGCTAAGAGGGATTGGACATATTTCTGCGAAACGGAACTGTAGACAAATGAGAAAGATGTGCTCTAGGAAGCTGCATAAGAAACAACGTTAAAGTGGGCGTGATTCCCTTTGAAGAAATGGAAAAGCGGGATTTTGCATTTTGTTCAACGGAACTGTGTGCCAACTGGATGCAGCACTGGATGCAGAGCCATAGGCATGTTATGGACAGAGCTCATGAGTTGACTCCCACGCGGAGATCTAGAGGCTCACTGTATTGACTTTTTTTTTTTTTTTTTTTTTTTTTTTTTTTTTTTTCAACCGTGTTATAATATACTTGGTAGTCAACCTGAAATAAACAAGCTAAACATTACTCACATTTCTGTATGAGTCTTGCGGCACAATTAAAAAAGTTTCAATATTATGGTCTCGTAAATAAACGTTCCTTTCTCGTCCATTACCGGGCTCGACTTTGTAAACGTCCCCCAGGTGTTTCAGCGTTTCTTTCGTGATGTGCACTCGTCTGAAACAAGTTAACAGTTAATTTGTCAATTCTGATTAACTTTATTTTGTATGCGCTAGAAAAATACGATATACAGATAAAAATTTAATTCCGTTCATACATTTGCAGGAATCCGAAGTTTTTGGTCCAAAATCTTGCGTTGTAAGTAACGTTAGAATTTAGTATTTTCAATCTTGTAATCAGGAGTAACACTGCTATATGCGTCGATTAATGTCCTTCGGAAATCGTTAATCAACGTACCATTTCTCGACTGCCTTTGCCTATTCCACTGCTCATCCATTTTACTTTTCATACAGCCATTGCAACCGTTATAAATTCAATTTTCTTCACAGATTATAGAACACAAATAATTTTTCCTCGGCAGCCACTCAAAAATTGATCCCACATGCCTTAATTCTCCTATAAAAGGACTAGCCAAATCTGAATATGGCTTGATTTCTCAGAGACACATCAGCGCCGAATGCTATTGAATACCATTTGATCCAATGGCTTTCATACCATGTGAACGCTTCTATAAAATTTTCTATCGATTTGTTTTCGCACATTCACTGCTAGTATCGATACCACAAATCATCGGGAATAATATTTAAAAACGGCTGATTGTAATCCTTAGCCACACAGACATACCATAAGCACAAAATTGCAGTCAGACGCTCTAAAGAAGAGAGCCAAAGTTCCTGCAATTAGTGCATGCAACATGAAAACCCGTTGAACACGAATTGTTGCATCCAGGTGTTGCTGTTGAGAAATCCATGGCGCCAACATTGTTTACAGGACTTAATGGAGATGTTGCATGGGTTTCAGGACATTTTGTCAACGATTTTTTGTCCATTAGTTTACGCCCACACGTAAGATAAGCAGCAGTTATTTGATCCAATTGTTACATTCTAGTCGGTATGTAAAATTATATTGACAGTATGGAAATGAAAAATTGAGAGAGAAGGAGGTTTTGTTATGGTTGCTCATTTTCAAGATTAAATGTTACTTTCTCCTTATGATTCATCTTTTTGAATTGTCATTGGTGAATATGTGGTTTTATTTCTATCCTTAGATTATTCGATGTACAATATACCTGACAAATGTATAGGTGCTTTTTTTATTTTTTAATTTTTTTTTTTTTTTACGAAATTATTACTTCATTTTGTAACATTTATATTTTTAAAACGTGACAAATATTTGTAAAACCTTTTCCAAGCGATGGCATCGATATAAATCTCAATGAACCGCGGTTGTGCCGAAAGAAACTGTAAAAATGAATAAAAGAGGGGAAAACAACCAAGAAGCACGCACTCTTTACTTTTGACCTATTTGTACATCCATCGTCTAGAGTCAAATACGTCAAAGTTTGAGCGTTTGGTTCCGCATACACCTCGTTGCAGCACAGTAAAAGCACAAAATGTAAAATAAAAAATAAAAGTGCCTTGGAAATCATTAAATTTGACAGGGAACCGCCAATATTTAAAAAACACATTATATTATTACTCTCCTTTGATAAATTTATCAATACATATATTTTTCCCATCAATTTAAATGAGAATAATCAATGGGAAGTGTGCAAACATTTCAAAATCATGAGTTAAAAAACGCTGACTATGCGAGTATAAATATTAAAGCCTATAAGAGAGCAGAGCGGAGCGGCCGGCGTGCTGCCAACGCGAGAGGCTCACTGGCGCCTACAAACCTAAGTGGATACTTCTCGCGTTGCACAATGCTTGAAGTATCCACTTAGGTTTGTAGGCGCCAATGCGCGTTTTGCGCTGCTGGCCGCCCGCCCGCCTTGCGGCGGCGCCTGAAGCAACTATTTCACAACAGAGGTGTTGCACAGTGTTATACGAAATCGAACATATTAAGAATGACAGGCATCCTTTAAAGTACAGATCTTTCCTCCCAAAATAAATCAAGATACTTATCGTGCACAGGAAAAATCTAAGAGCCTTTAGCTGAGGCAAATCAAGAGGTTCATCCGGTTCAGGTATAACAAGGAGGGAATTTCTTGAAAGATAATTAAGTCCTGTTGCACCAAAGAGGTGCAGAGAGTTTTAGTGAATTTTGTATAATGGAATTGACGCTCCCTCATTTTTATCTAAAATCTCAATTAACCCCCTCCCCCCCCAAAAAAAAACAAGCAAACCCTCATTCTTCTAAGACATTATACATTTTCATCCAAAAACGAATGCGGATTTCATCAATGCGGACTCAACTGGCACGTGGACCAAAACCTCCGTGCCGAAAACACGCGTGGACCTAAATTACTGGAAAAAACAGGTGCGCGGACAAAAAATCTTGTGTGAATTTTCTTGACGGAAACGGCTTGAATGTCGACTTACCCAGGAAGACCACCGCTCTCCATATAGTTGGCAAGCGTGACGTCATTCGACCAAACGTCAAACTGCCATTTTCGAAGTCCAAGCACTCCGCAATGGACACGGCCCGAGTGGATGCCCACCCGCATGTTCACATCCACATGCATGATGTCACGAACCAGCCTGCAATTTAAAACAATCTCATTCTTATACACGTCATTTTTCTTTAGAACTTCACCCAGAGTTAAAGTATTTTATGGACCTTGAACCAACAATCTATGTAATGTAATCGTGTGAGGAAAGTGTTGTGTTCTAGGGTCAAAACTACTTTTGGATTACATTTTGCAACAAGGAACCACTAGCTCTGGCTCTTCCATAAAAGCACCTCCCTACTTAGGGAAACCAATAGCATATATTGACGGTGAAACTACCAGACCACGTATCTCGTTTGCGGTGTTTAAAAATCTCCACTCACATTTTATTTTTTTGAAGGAGATCAAATCAATACCATTCCTTACAATTTTCACAGATTTTTCTCCGCACAAAGAGGAAAAATCACGGAGGTTTTCACGAATTGACGTTGAGTAGTTTTCTATTTAAAAAATAAAGTATGACAGGAAGTCTGCGACGTCGCAAACCGAGATACGTGGTTTGGTAGTTTCACCGTCTATACGTTGTTTCCAAAATGAACCAGAAAGAATGGTTCCCTGTTGCAAAATGTAGTCCTTCTCACCTAATGATGATTGCTGAGAAACTTGTTGAGCGGATAATTCGTCAAATGATGGATTTTATTTTGTGAAACTGATGGGATATGAGCAATGTACTTCCTTAATATGAGTAGCTGATCGCAGATCAACTCTGAAAACTACCCTAACCACGTTCCGAACCCATTCTTACCAGTCCGCCTTCAAAAACTAAAGTAGGCAACATGAGGTTTGAGAGCAGTAAGAGATACTTGTAGAAGTTTGGTAACATTCATGACAAATAGCGAGGGACTGCATCGAAGTAATAATGTTTATTAATATATCGTCGTTTATTTAGAGAGCAAACAAGGTGCAGAGTTGGACGCGTCCAAGTTCAAATTGGATCGCATTTTGCAAAAAGGAACCAGCGCAAGTACAATGTTGTAAAAATGTTGCTTCTTCATGATTATCTAAAAGATCCAGAGTAGCGAATAGTTTTGGCTTCCCGCCAAAAATTGTTGATTTTGAAGGAAAATAACCGTGTAAATTTTAATACTGTACATATATTACGTATTTTTAAAAGAGAAGGAGGAGTTGGACGATTTTGAAAACTTTGTAATCTCGCCGATTCCTTTTTGCGAAATGCGATATAATTAGAGTATACACAAAGAGGATCCCTATGGACTTTATTTCACGAATTTGAGCGCTGACCGTTAAAATGTCGACGTAATTCGTATTAAATTTGTATCAGTTTAAGTGAGTTCAAAGTTAGGCATCCTTTGTCTAAAATTATTAAATGAGTAACTCAAAATAAGCTATGAGTCCAGATCAACTCAGCAGTTTAATTGATCTTGTCTTCACACAGGTTCTTGGTTTGGAGTATCAATAAGTAGAGTAGATTGAAAATAAGTCGGAAATACTATACATTTTTCAATAGATTTCCTTTTTATTAACATTTAATAACGCACTTCGAGGAAGGAAAAATGGGTGCAACCTCTTCTGTAGAACCGAATCAAATTCATATTTTAATAGATTTGACAATGTTAAAACGATGTTATATCCTTCAGCCTCTGATCACCTCGTTCCGCGCGGTTGGTATTGTGCGAAATTCAATTCATTGCGAATCAATAACCGTAAAGGTGAACATCTAGAAATATTGCCACGAGTCTCTTCACCTGAACAAACGCAAACAGAGATCTCACAAGCAGAAACGCTTTCGGATATGTGAACGGGCGCAAGAGTTAACGTTGGTTGACGGAAAGAGTTGAATACAAATCTCGAGGTTGGAGCGAGCGATTGAGCACGAACGCAGCCTTAGGTGAGCCGACTTGGGGAATGAAAATATCACCGAAACGAAACTAATTTTGAACCAGTTCAAAGCGTTCGCGTGTAGTTTCAGAATGAGCAATAGCCGGAGGCAAGCGAAATAACGGTGGGGTGATCGTGGAATTCGTGGAGCGCTGAAAACGGGATGCGAGGTGGAAGAGTTCGAGTTTTCCGCGATGCGTGGTCAAAAATTGTATACGCAACGAACTTTGGACCCACATAACGGCAATAAAACTTCTGAGTATTGTATGTTAAGAGCAGTTTAAGTACTAATGTACCAAAGTTCCCATTTTCGAAAAAAAAAAAGAAAAAGAAAATCCTATCAGAATAGCTGTAAGCATTAAATGGTGCGATGAGTTGGTTTTAGTAAAGTATAAGTAACCAAGCGTTGCAGATATTTTGCAACTTCAGCATCCTCCATTCTAAAACAGAAAAAATGACCAAAACTCTTGCTTTTTTTACTTAAAAATAGGTTGACTAGACGAGATAAAAGACTATAAGCATTAATCACATGTTTTATTTATTTATTTGTTTATTCTTACATTGTGCATATCCCACCGCTCTTTTTTTTGCTTTAAAAATGACCAAGTAGCGGCAGAATTTGGGCAACATTGCGATCAACTTGAATAATTTTTGAAAAAATCGATTTAAATGAGAAATATTTTGAGAATAGTCTTTGTTCTTTTCGATGGTGAAACTGCAAAATAACTCAAATCTCGTTTGCAGTGTATTAAAATCCGTGCATTGGTTTTCCAAGAGATTTGCACCCCACTCTTCACCAGGCTGTTTTGCCAAAAAAAGTTGAGGGAGTTTCATTAACTTGCCGGAACACCCGGTGCGGCATTTTTCGATACATCCAAAATTTAGTGCAGAGAAACTACGAGTTTAGAACATCCTTGATGCTTCATTCTGCCCAAAAAATGTAATTGGACAAATGTTTGAGACGAATTGTTAGGATGTCCCAAATTGTAAAGCTGTTATCTCCTGGACCCGTCTATTTGAAGTCATAGCTTCAACATTAACAGGCTCTTGATTAAAAGGGAAAGAGGGAAAGAGTAGTAAGATTCACGTAGTTATATCTGTAGGATATAAAAACGGCAAGTGTTCTTGTTTTATCATGAGAAAAAATAATCTTCGAGAGAGCTTTCATAAAAGATATGAAGACGTGAGCGCACAGCTAATGCGGCTTTGCGTTTGAAAGTGACAGAAAAAGCGATCACCAAAGGGTAGTTATTTCGAGGAAGGTGGGGATTTGAGGTGAGAACGCGGTTTGTTTTAGAATGATAGTCTCGAATTTTTCATCCAGGAGGTGTTGCCATTGTTTCCATCGATTTAGAACTGCCGTCAACAGTTATATTTTTTTCCAGTAGTGGAAACCAGGCCGAATATTAGACAAAGGTGTGCTGACTTCCTTCCTCTGAAAAATGACCACTACGTCATACCTATAAATCAAATTAGTATAGTTGACAAATTATGACGTCATTCCAAAGAACCTCTGGTCAATATCATTCAAGCACCGACGCTAAGATAACCCTTTATTCGTATTTTCCAGTGTAGTACAGTTATCAGCGGAGGTACCTACTCATCTCGTAAATCCGATTTGTGAGTATGATTTTTTATGGTTTTTTGTGCGATTTGATACCTCAATAATTCATTTTTGCAAACAGTGAGACCATCAGTTTTCGAAGGCTTTAAAATCCTTGACTCATTTAAACCAGATTGGCGGCCTTCTCCTTTCTGCTTTCGTATTGACGACCCTGATAACATTTTTACTTTTTTGTTCTTCTATTTTTGGGAATGAGGAGCAGGAAACTAGCCGTTATTTTGAAAAACGACAGTTGCGTTAATGCATTGAAGTCAAACTGAAATGTAAAACTCCCAACTCATAAATATGAAATTCACACTTATTTGGTACTCGTGAATGCGATTATTCGCGACTTGATTTTAATGACTTACACTCCTATTTCCTTTTCATTACTCAGTACCTTCTTCTTTTCTTATTAACATTGATGAGGAAATAGGACAATTTTCTATTAAAATAAAATATGTGGTGATGGAAAGTAATTATTATGTTCAAAGAAGAGATCTTTTTAAAAACCAGGAACTGTCGTTTTGAACCAGAGTTGGATAATTAGTGCCGTCTTACGGATTCCTAAACCGCGGCCTTTCATCGAAGTCCCCCGGATTGCGAACGGGCTGCTCAGTGCTTGGATTGTCGAATCGTTATTCAATGACCTTCATTGATAACTAATACCGCTAACATAGGAATTTATTGTTAAATAAGGTCACTTACAAACAATTAGACAATCCAGCTGCTGGACATCGTAAAACTAATATTACCTACTGCGAAATAGAGAGACAATCTGGCATTTTCGTCCGATGACTGCCTAGCTGAGGTAAACGGTATTTCTTCGGCTCTCCTCAATGTCGCGAAAAAAGGCGGAGGAAAGTAGGTAATCCCCAATTTCATTTTAGCGCTCTTTGAGTGTGTTTTTTGCGAGGTTTAAGGTTCTATTTTTGGCATGAACATCAACTAAACTTTCACCTCAACCGTGATACCAAAAAAAGTCCGAGTAAAGCCTAAGTATTTACCCTTCTTCACCTAAAGTCTCATGCGAAATGAGCATCTGATCATTTATTAAGTACACTCTCATACCCACTAATTGTACTATAGCATGGGCGCAGAAAGGATTTTTCTTGGTTGCGGTTTCTCAGAATCTCCGTTAATGTTTCATCCACTATAATTAAAGGGGATGCATGGAATTCGTTTAAACTTTTACTGCATTTTCTTTATGATTTCACAATGATGAACACTAACAATTTTAAAAAATTCACTCAACAGTTTCCTCTCTGAAATATAAATTAGTGGTGGAAATTCTGAAACACTACGAGTAAGAAATACCCTTTCTGTACCCAACGCCTCAATGAGCTTCTTCAGTAATTTGTGATTCTTGCATTTTTGAAAACTAAAGAGGAATTTTCCCCAATTTTTCGAGCAATACTAACTCACGAAATACGGGTTCAAAGATCCGTACTTTCAGCTCCCACTAAACGTTCGTCGCTCGGGTTGTCCAAGATGGCGTCCATTCTATCCGTCTGGCGATGGCCACACTTTTAACTTCGCATGCCGGTGAGGTACTTCTACCGAGTGTGGTAGTCCAAGAAGTAAACAAACAAAACACCGGGCTGAATCTATCCGACTCCTATCCGATTACCCGTGCCTTCCACGCAAGAAAAAGGTGCCGTATGGGTCTCTATGGGTGCCTCTATGGGTAATCGGATAGGAGTTGGATATGCCGGAATCACACGCTGAATTTGGCAGCTGAATATGGAAGTCAACAATCATCGCTCAATAGCTAAACGTTCGAAAATTCGAGTTATTTTCATCCAGATATGTATCAAATCTATTCGAATAGTTCAGACGAATCCGACATTATCCAATGGTCGCTGATAATCGTTGGTAAATTTTGCGCGACACGCGCAACCGATGACTTCCACATTCAAGCCACATTCAGCGTGTGATTGCGGCAATAGATTCAGCCCGGTGTTTACTTCTTGAACTGGTACGCGAGGTCAAAAGTGTGGCTATCGCCGGACGGATAGAATGGACACCATTTTGGATAACTCGAGCGACGCGCGTTTAAATGGGAGCTCAGAATACGGAACTTTGAACTCGTACTTCGTGGGTTAATATTGATCAAAAAAATCGAGGAAAATTCCTGTGAACTATGTGCGCTCTTTCGTTTTCAGAAATGCAAGCACTACAAATTACTGAACAAGCTCATTAATCTGACGTCAAAGCACGCACAGCTTCACCTTTCTATAAAAAGGAGAGCATTTGAAAATGTTGCAGCTGACTTGAAAGCGGAAAAAAATAAACAGAAATGCTTTTAATTTTTTTACGGAGGATTGTGCGATGCCTTGACAAAAACTGACGACTCGTCAGCTGTCACTCACACATGGTAACAGACAAACGCATTGGCAGAATATATTCCGATACTATACAATACTATACATGGAAACACTCAGGAGTGCCTTCAATTTCTCAATGCTTAAACCTGGATACAACTATTCGTGCTCGGGGAATGTCCGGGTTGCGTGCTCTCGAGATCGCAGGCGCTCTGGTTTTTTAATCATAACGCCTGCCTGGCGGTAAATATTTGTGCTAAATTAATATTCGTGTATCATGTCGTATTGACCATGATAAATTTCGGATTTTTGAGCAGCAGTGCAGCATTGTCAAACTGTGTAATTGTTAAAAATGATATGCAAAAAATGGATATTGGCATTTTCTTTGAGATAAAAATTCGCAATGACTGGGCAAATTTTACTTTGATTTAAAATTTTGCGGTATCGCTGAGCAACATCATACGATTTACATCTTCTTGTGGCTTCGTCAATTTAGACTGGTTTCTATTCGAAGAAAAAGCACAGGATTTTTGGTCTGTATAAAGAGTTTTTCATACCAATGTCACTCAAAAGCGTCTGGTAGTTTTTGCCTTTTTCATGGAAAACTGCTTTTACACAATATTTTGAGAAAAACTGAAGAGTGCATCTCTTACTCGAAGAAACAGGGCGCTTCGCGGTACGTCTTTATGCTCCTTTACGTATTGATTTTCCTTCGTTTTTCTTTGTATTTTATCAGGCTGCCCCTGCTTAGCGTCTACACGATGATACTTTTAGATGGAAGTAGTAACCGATTTCATTATTTTATGTTATATACCGTTAAAATTAAAGTAGTTTATTTTAAGGTAAGGCTAAAGGGTAAAGAAGTATATTCCATGCTTCAAATCAAGCTAAACATATCAATTTGTATGAAAAAATTACAGAAAAATGAAAAGTATGAATAAAGAACTGAACAAAACACTTTGTGGCAAAGAAATACGAAGAAGAGACAATGATTTCAGACGCGAAACTGAAATCAATTAGCAGTTGCGACTGTGGACTCGTTTGCAATAAGTTTCAACTACATCTGAAAACTTGTTGACAGTAAGAAAATTTTTCTTTATCAAAACATAATTGATGATTATAGTGAGAGGACAGGAATGAGAAAGAGCATCAAAAGCTTTTCATGCCTATTGGCGACCGAGAATTATTGAAATCAAGAATACTTCTTTACTCCCTCGACTAATTTTTATGGGACTATTTACACACTGTCAAAATCTCGAAGAAAAATATGGAGTGCATTGTTCCTGAACTGCCGGAGTAATATGAGTGCGGAGCAGAATCGATTCTTTCAACGGAGTGCACTTCACTTCTACGAGGCGATTTTCACTCCTAATTCATATTACTCGAGTTTTCTGCGGCAAAATAAGCTCCGGAGTAAAATATACTCCGGATTCCAGCCCAAAATTTCTTACACGGCACGTAAAACATAATGTCCAGATGTGTATTATAAAAGTAAATGATAGTTAAAATACTAGTTCAACTCTGAGAGCAGTGGCGTAACGGGCGCCCCCGCAGACCCTGCTATGCAGGGGGGCCCAAGCGCCTAGGAGGCCCTCCGGGCCCTCGGCCGCCGAAATTTTGTTTTTCTCTGTCTCTTTGATGCTTAGCTTTGGTTTCAAACTTTGGGCCTTTACTTACCGAAATGGGGCTTCTTCCGCTGATTTTATTGTTAGCTCAGGGTTTTTCATACTTCTTTTGGACTGTTCCTAACTTTTTTTTTTGCTGAAGGGCCCCTGCCTTCCACTCAGTGATTACTAAAATTTTTCTCTATTTTGTCACTTTTCGTAGGTATTTTGGGCTTTGGGTGACCCATGAATCTAAAGGGCCCACAGGGCCCTTCGATTCTTAGGCCTGCATGGGCCCTTTTGTAGATCCTTGGGCCTGGGCTGGGTCCCCGCCATCCTTTAGATCCTTGATCCTAGGGGGCCCATTTAATCGGGTACGGGATCTGGGACAGTGAGGGGAGAGGCATTCCAAGTCCAAGTCCGTGATTTGAAATTTCTCGGGCCAAAAAACGAGAAGGGGTGAGGGAAGTAGAGGGGCGGGAGGGGGGATGATTTTGGAATTTTATCGACATGGGAGGGGGGCCCTAGAAAAAATTTTGCAGGGGGGCCCAGCGGAAGTCCGTTACGCCACTGTCTGAGAGTAAGAGCGAATAGACAACAGCGAGCGAGCAATGCTGTCAAGTTGCACAGTAAAATACCGACATTATAAATGGATTAGCGCTGATTTTTCAGCATTATTAGGCAGCAATGCAAGCGAATCACGCCGGCCGCAACAAGTAGATTACCCCGTCTTTTGTCTCCCACCGCACTCGCTCCTGTCACGCTTTTTCGAGATCCCCTCATCTTGCGTATCAATCATCTTCCTGGCTCCTAATTTTTCTTCCATAATATTTTTTTTCACATTTAGGGGCCTTTTTACGCCCCTCACCGTTTCCCCTCAAGATACAGACGCTATTGTTTCGGGGCTCCTTAATTGATGCAGGTTCTGCACTCGTTGCGAGAGCGCGCCACTCCAAGGATTCTAATTATTCATTCAAGAATCTCCGAGTTGATAAATTATATTGTTCAAATGACTCTTCTATAATGAAGACAATGCCACACGAGAGAGGCTCTAGCTTTGCACGGGAAGGAACAAGGTTGAAGGAATATTAAAGTTTAATTTTTTCTCTCTCTCCCCCCTTTCCCCCTTTTTCTCGATGGTGAAATAAGGCCTGTCTTCATCGGTTTTCGTTTACCCAGTGATGAAACTCTAATGACGTTAGGTGGACGGGGGAAAACTCATCAAAAAAGCAATGTTTTATGAAACACACCGATTTGTGGGTAGAACAGGTGATTCCAATTTGAGTGAGTTTTTGAATTAGCGGTAATATGTATGCAAGATAAGTTTCCCATAGCCACAAACATTAAAGGGTGATTTGTTGGAGCGGACTTGTATATAGATGTCCCTATCAAATTATTGAAAACACAGCTCAAACTGAGCTCCGGTTTTTTTTTCCGATCGTCTTGTCTCAGCAAGTTAGTACCGTTTTATATGGGAAGTAACGATATGCCGTTAAATCATTTCAGTGTACAGATCTACAAAGTGTAAAGATCAATTTTAGATATAGGCCTACAATAATACATCCTAAGAAAGAAGCATACTTTGAATTGAAAAAAAGAAGAAAGTGGAGTGTCAACACAGCCCGAAACAGAGGAGACATACACCGGCCTAGTTTTTCAAGTTTCTTCCTGAATCTGAGCGAAACCTCATTGGCAGCGTGGGGTGGAGCATTGAGAGTTCACGCATCACGCCTTCAATTTTGCAGATGCAACACGGACATCCATCAAGAACGAATAGTTGTATCTCTCCGCCGTCATCAACGCGCGTGTTTTCCTTCGCTCTATTTCCATATTTTTTTTTTGTTTTCATTTGTGTTATTTGTAATGGTGCTTCAAGAGCTACGCGAAAAAGACAGCTGAATGTAGGAGAGACGGTATCGGAGCTCATTTTTTAATTTTTCTCCCGAATCTGAGCGGCGGCACAGAGCGTAGAATTGCTCATGCATGCATCTCGTCATCGCGCCTTCAATTTAGCAGATGCAACACGGACATCCATCAGCACGATATCTCTGCGCTGTTGTCGATAAACGTTGAGGTTTCTCTTAGAAATTTGAGGAAAGTTACGATTTAGCCTGCTCAAAATACGGCATGGTGTGTCTGAATCAATGAGCATTTACCGATTGATTTATGCAAATCCTTTTAGAATGAACAAATGAAGGGCATAAGAAACGATGATATGGATATGAAAAATACTTGCGCAATCGTATCGATCATGTCCAGGCCCATTTCGACGCAACAGTGAGCGTGGTTTGGTCTTGGCTCTGGTAAACCGCAAACACAGTAGTAACAATCACCGAGCAGCTTGATCCGTAAGCAGTTATGTTCAGTCGCTAGTCTATCAAATCTGAAAAATTAACAAAAAAATGCGTCACATTACTATGAAATACATTTTTAGATCTCGGCAGAATTTTAGTTAGACTATAGTAAATAACGTGCGGCTGTGTTGTTTCTTGAGAAGTTCAGTGAAGAATTTATTCCACCACTGCAGTAAAATCTCTAAAATAAACTTTTCAAGTATTGTTCCACACTGAGAAAGAACTATAGTTATAATTACCATATTGGTGTGTTCAATATGCACTCTTAATTAGTGGTGGTCATAACCAATAATAGTGATATTTTTACTGGAGCAATCGTGATTTCACAAGTGTGCGGTAGTAAAATTACCATTTAATGGTAAAAATATCTCTATTATTGGTTACGGCAACTACTAATTTTAAGAGTTCATATTGAACATACAAATACGGTAACTATAACCATGATTTTTTTCTTCGTGCATGATTAATTAAGAGTTACATTTGAACAAGAAAATAAAATGAATTGCCTTGCTGATGACTTGAGCATAAACGCATATCGACGGTGAAACTACCAAACCACGTATCTCGATTTGCGACGTCGCAGACTTCCTGTCATACTTTATTTTTTAAATGAAAAACTAAATTTTCGTTTATACTCCTATTTTCAAAATTATCTGTAAAGACGTTAATAGCCTGAGTCGCTGAATGTCTTAAAATTATATTAACTAACTAACTAACTACTTAACATCCAGTATTGAAAATTTCTGTGATTTTTCCTCTTTGTGCGGAGAAAATTCCGCGAAAATTTCAAGGAATGATATTGATTTGGTCTACTTCAAAAAAATAAAATGTGAGCGTAGATTTTTAAACACCGCAAACGAGATACATGGTTTGGTAGTTTCACCGTCGATATTTATAACCCCAAAAAACCCGTTATTATTAAATTAAAAACTGCAACTGATGCTCGCCTTTTGAATAAAATTTAAAAGGCAAAAGGCTTTTTTTTATAAAAAAAAAAATACCAGCAAAAGGATTTCCTACACAATTGTTGGCATCGAACCCCCTCAGGAAAACATTTCCCGTAACTTTTTTCGGGAGACTACTGATGGAAGTTTGTTCAGATTTGAGGCAGCTTGTCTTGAAAAGTTTCCTCGATTCCCTCTGTTCCTGTGGAGAACTTTAGTCCAATTGCATATTCGCAAACAGGCACTGATACCCTGGGGCCGTTACTCAAATTGTTTGTTCTCCTCTCCCCCTCCGACATCTAGCCCTCTCCACCCTCCCACCTGTTTAAGTGAGGTGTCAGGTTGAACCACTGAGGAGATTTATCGTTTTCTTTTGTTCAACTCTTATGAATATGAAAACCATCAAACTTCAATTTTCATATCTACTGTACACCGTTATATTGCTTTATACATCGTCGAGGGGAACGGGATTAACTTCATTAATGAGCATGAATTTCAATTTTGAAAGCTGTTTCGAGTCTTTCTAACCTCAGATAAAGTGGTTATTGCGCAATGCAAACCGAAATTTAGGTTTTAACGCACGCTCAAAAATACAGAGGAAATTCTTTTTGGGACTGCCATTAATTACTATTCACAGTGGCTTCATTATTGAGGATGGATATTTGTGATCGGGGTTGTCAAAATTTTAAGATGATGAACATTATCTGAAAGAGATACGGAGAATTTATTCGAGAATAGTTGAAAGCTAATATTTTTTGAGCGTGGAGAAGTTGGTGCTATTCGCAATGACATTTCAGACATTGAGAAATATTTTTAGAAACCTCAAGGCTCAGGAATGCAGAGTATTTTACGATACTTCACAAGGATTACCAATTCTAGAAAATTCGATATGAGGGAATTTCTCCTCTCTTAAATTGTTCTTGATACACTTGAAATTTAAACGATCGTCAGAAAATCTTTGTGAATACCATTGTCAGAATAATACATGGGGGCAAGAAGCATCAGGAATTTATCATCACCATGCAGGGGCATTAGGGCATGTATTTGGATGTTGTCAACCATACCTATGCATGAAACCCTACAAAAACAGACCACGGCACTTGTGTGTTCATTCCCAAAAAATGTATACCGTCATTCCTTAACATGCTGTGGGGATAGATTAAATGTAATAACGCCTATTAATTTTCAATTCATCGCCCACGGATTGGAAGATACAATTTTGGAGGAAAATGCATAGACATGCAACAAGATGCACCAGTTGGTGCGAAGTTTGATTCCCACCGAACTTTTGTTTAATTACGTCCACGCGCTAAAATTTTTCATGAACCGTCAAGTTCAAAGGAAAACAGAGAATCAGAAAGCTCTTCGGCGAATATTCCGTTCGTCGTTGTTTGAAAGGCGCTAAATCAAAAGAGTCTACCTAAACTTCGGCGTAAACTTTCAGTTGCAGGAGAGCATAGCAATATCCAGGCTCATTGTGGGATGTAAAGGGAATTCTTGCGCTTATGGCACTGTCCGTTTGTTCCGAGCGAGGTGGAATATGGCGGCGAAATTAAGGTCTGTTTCCGGTTCGCGGTTCGGTGCGTCTGTTGCGGGGAAACACCAAAAACCGCCCCCGAGCAGAATCGGAGCTGCGTTGCCTTGCGCCGAGAGAGAGACGTTCCATTTTGTTCAGAACCTGATTTTATTTCGTAAATTTGGCAACGTATCAAGTTGCATCTAACAATCGTTGGGGCCTGCGGTGACATAGACGCAACTCGTCGTACTTGTCGTGTGTCCTTTTGAGCGTAAATCTAGGGATTCCAGGAAATTAATGAAGATCCCTCTCCGATGTCGAATTGACAATGTGATTTGATTTGTTTTTCAAACGTGGCAATATCACCTCAAGGATCAGGCCCGTTACAGGGTCTTCTTTTGAAGGCTGAATTTTGAAAGTCTTGAAAAAAAGGCTCGGATATGTCACTTACGGGATGGGTCCTGAACCTTGTGTTTTTTATTTAATATCCTGAAAGTACGGGATGACTACATTACCTAGTGAATTATTGCGTATTTTTGAGCCAAAATCCCGGAAGGGCGCTTTTGGAAAGTCCAAAAGTCAAATGGAAAAGGCGAGAAAATGATGGAGGATATGTACTACAACGGTCAAATTGCTATCTCTCCAGAATTTTTCAGTGATGATTATTAAAGTAAAAGGTATTTTAAAGCGGACTTGATGAATTTTTACAACAAATAACATGAATGAGATTCGATTTTTTGTTTCTAAAGAACTATAGTTTCGACTCTCCTATTGTTTTCATAGACGAGGAGTAGATCGACATTTCACGCGGAAGTCGCAGGAATCCGCGCTTTCTTCTGATTGGTGCCGGATGACATTTGGTTCGGTGCAAAACGGTGGTGTTTCAAATTTGCGGAAAAGATACGCTTTTTGAACTGCTCATTTTTCGGTCTCTGGGTTACTCTTTCACGTTCTGAATGTGCGCATCATGTTCTACGCGTCATAAACCTTTAGAAAAATGCATTCGCAAGTCAAAATTCGTTCATGGTTAAGTGCCCCATCGTATTTTGATGATTCAAGCATAATGATCAGCGAAAAATAATAGCATGGTAGTAAGAACCTTTGAATAAACAAAAACGGATCCGAAAACCTCTAATTGAAGTAAACGGGTCCGAATTGAAAAAGCGCTGTAACAAAGTAACTTACAAATAATGTTAATATCAGCTTGCTTTTCTGTCTTCTAGGGTGTAAAGTTTTTGAACTTTGGCTTTATTCTCCCGAATAATCAAATGAGAAAATGGAAAAGGGAGGCATGAAAAAGTAGATGCAAGAATAAATAAAAAAACAGATTCAACGCGAAAAAGTTGTAGAGCGCGCCGATCTCAAGTTATAATTTTTGAAACTGGACAGGTATGAAACAGATGTATTAATTGCAAAGTTGGATGGTTTCAATGACGCATAAAATAGAATTTTAGGCTACTTTCGGCATTTTTTATTTTTGAAAATTTGGGTTGAAATTCAATTATCCTGTTAAACAATGCCACCTGGTACCAAGTTTCACAATAATCGATTGAACTGGCGTCGCAATTCGTGAGATCAGTGGGACTCTACACAGTGGTAGACGATACCAGTTAGTTTACGTCCGTTGAAGCGCCTTCTAATACGTTTGATACCGTGCAATACCTCTGTGGTGGAATAGTTGCTCACAGCGCCTTGAGGAGTATCGCTTCGATTTGATGGCAGATTATAAAGATTACCGCTGATATTGCACCCGAGCACGTGCGCAGTTGCACATTTTCGTATCACCGACGGTGAGGTAAAAATCACGCATACCTCAATTTGCGACGTTGCAAGTTTTTCACTGCCTAATATATCTGGCTAAAACTGTCGGAACACTTCATAATCTGTCGTGTTTTTTGCGAGATAAGATGAGAAATATTATTTTAATGCTTCATTCAAGTATGTTGCATTCTTTCGTTACAAAGAGAAAAAGATGTGCAAACGTACAGACACGCATTTTTTACGTCCACCATTATCGAAGATATCGCTTAACCACAAACACGACGTATGACGTCGTCCACCGTGCAGGTAGTGCACAACATGGTTTCTTCTACTTTTGTTTCATCAATCAGTGATACACAAATTTGCTTCAGTTGCTTGATGTAAAACACGAATGAAAATGAGGTGGAAGAAACTGACCACCACTGCCGTGGTGGATGACGTCATACTCGAAGGTCTCCGTTAAAAAAGGACGTGTAAACTTAACTTTTGAGCTGATCTTATATTTTTTTTGTGCTTATTTGTAAAATTGAACCATCTAAACATGATTCTACTACTGGGGCAACTGACTCATGGTAGTCATAGTAGCATCTTTTGAAGCTTCAATTTTCTACGTTTATAATTGGAACATTGTTGAGTGGTGCGGCATTTCTATGATGAAAATATTTTATTGGACGATGATAGGGGAAAACAAATATACGAATGCCAAAAACCTTTGAAAATGATCGCCATTTTCGAAAAAGATCAAGCCAAGAGGAGGAGCGACCCTCGAAATACCCTCTCAGAAACGAAATATTAGATTTGAAATGTACAATAACGAATTAGCGATACTTGAATGTTGGCAGTACTGCTTTTTCTCCATTTAAATGTATCTTGATATTATTCGGGTTGTAAATATAGTTTCTGAATTGAAATATAAGTAGTGCACATCCATAGATGCTTAGATAATTTGAAATGGCGACCACAAATGTCCTCCTTGTATGGTAACATATTTCACAGGGCCACAGTAGGATTGCATTTAGCAGTAGAAAACCAGAGATATTTTTAAAGGGAAATTTAGTTAATGGTTGATCTAAATGAACCTAGTTTTTCTCTTAAACGTATTAAAAGCATTTACCTCAAAAATAATGAATTTAATCGGAAACAGTGAATTCAAAATAGGGATTGGTGTTTTCACAACCATCAAATTTTGCACGGAACCGTCTTAATAATTGCAAAACACACAGTATGTTTTCCTTGATATAATTTTATTTTACCTATCACATTAAATGACACTAATCCATACACAAAGGAGTGTACACATATTTCAAAATCATAAGCTAAACAACGCTGACTCCGCGAGTTTGAACATTGCAGCCGAACACTGTGCGGCCAACGCGGAACGCCTACAAGACTGCTGGGATACTTCACGCATTGCGCGTACAGTCATTCACCGACTGCAAGGATACTTCACGCATTGCACGTACTCATCGTAGAGTACGCGCAATGCGTGAAGTATTCTTCCAGCCTTGTAGGCGCTGATACACGTTATGCGCTGTTCGCACTGCGTTAGGCTCTAACATTCAACAACTCGCGAAGTCAGCGTTTTTCAGCTCATGCTTTCGAAATGATTTTACATTCTGTGCGGATTATTTATCATTTAATTTGGTAAAAAATACGTACGTAAAAACTAATTTCCTCTCTTTCCTCACATGCTTCCTAATATTAAGTGCATTTTCTTAACATTTGAATATCTGCTTCAGTGGCAAAAGGGCGTAATTTCAAAGGCACTTCTTCTAGAGCAGGGTGCTTTCTTACTGTAAAAACTATGACTAAAGGCACAAACGATGACCGTAATTAATCATCAAACATGAATGCTACTTGACTGTCATGTAAATGTTAAGAATCATACATTCACACATACCGAGTGGTTTTGTGTATGAGGGGCATATCCACCGGCAATTAAAACTATTCTATTTCTTGCCCTATTTCTGTTCACCTCCTCGTGTGACTGTGATAAATAGTATAGTATGTAGAACATTAGTTGATTGTTTCGAACCGTAATCTGAACAAACTATAATTGTAATTTTGTCATCAAATGCTTCTTGAGTGCAATAATACGTAGAACAATCGATTCTTCGAAATCGATATCTAAAATTGATACCTGGGATCGATATTTTCAATGGATTTAAATGCAGGAAAAACAGTGTTACCGATTTGCAAAATCAACGCGGCAAAAACGTACATTTCATACGTTGTAAACGAAATGCCCTACAGTTTAAAGGCTTAAAGTTAATTACTCTTTTTCGATATCTTCAAGGATGCATACTAAGCAAGAAGCAAAAATCGCATGTATTCCTCGTTTGTAAGAGCAAGAAAGAAGAAACTACGGTACGCATCAGAGTGATGAATGAAGTTATTCACGCCTTTAAGGATGGATTGATTGCCATTGGAGAGGGGCCACGTTACTGTTTGTGCGTTACACGAGTGACTTTCAAAGGGATCCATTGCGTAGCAGATATCTGTAATACGGCTCCTAAGCCGCTCATTTTGCATACTCAAGTTTCTGTAGGCGATTTTGCTGGAATAAAGGATACTCTAATCGGAGTCAAAGAGGCTCCGATTTTTGGGTCCATTGCGGGATAGGATCGATTCCAACAAGTCACGACTAAAATAAGCAACCCTTTATCTACACCAGTTAGCGCACCTAATTATTGACATTTCGCGAATGATGCCACCTTTGCCCCATTTGAAGTGTTCAATACTCTTCTTTGAACATTTCATTGTTATTTTCAGATAATACTTAGTATTATCAATGATTTAATTCAAAGGTAATGGGTTAGAGCGACTGCCACTAACGATCTGTGCTGCTCTTCAAAATTGAAGGGTTACGCTTATTCAATTGATTTATTGAGTTGAAGATGAATTAAATTAAAAGCTTACCTGGCAAACAATTCATTGAGAAGTGTTACGAGTTCTTCAGCGGTACATTGATTAGATAAACTCGTGAATCCGCAGATGTCCGCAAACAATATGCTGGGGGAAAAAATTGAGCAGAGACGTGAATAAAAAGTTTGTGATTGTTTTAACGGCGTTTGTTGACCATGCGCTATTTATCTTTTTGTTCAACAGATCCCTTTCCCCACCATTTCGAGCTGTTGCCAATTTTCACGAGAATCTCCGTGTCTTGAAATTTCCGAATGCTTAAATCGTGCAAACAAGCAGTCCGTTGCGGTGCGGTTTATTTTAAAGCCTTCTGAATTCGGAGAATAATTTTGCACTCACCGACTAAAACATGCCTGAAAAAATGGGCAAATAACTCTTTGGAATGTAGTAAGTTTCCGCTCGTGTCTTATTTGTTTAAATGGAAAAATATTGAAATGTTTTATGAATTTCCTCTACTCATTTTGAAAAATCGACACAAAGTTACAATAGTATATTTTTATTAATTTTCGTTGAAGAAAATGCAATTTCAAGGAATCGAAGACCAGGTAATACAGTGAGAGTCAGCTACATTTGTGGAATTCTGATATTATTTATAAGAACCGAATTTAATAGAACCGTACTGCAAAATTGTCTTATAGTGACATAACTGAGACCATTGCCCTGTTCTTTGTTCATTTTCTGAACGTATATTTTATTTTGGTGACCAGGAAAATGTATGAAATAAAAACTTGATATTTTCGTTTTCTGAAGCACTATTCGGATAAATATCAATTGAAAAAGATAGAAAAAATATGGACAATATTTCTATAATATGCTATTGTCTTGAAAACATTCACTGACTACTTTGTGTCAACAAACTTGCTACAAAATTCAAGGCAATTATCACATAACATATTTATTAAAGGAGCGATGAAAATAACTGAACCAAGTTCAATCACACTGTTATTAACAGGTTAAGCCGACGCAGTCCAAATATTGAAAAATGATTCCGGTTATAAAAGCTTCTCAGAAAAAGGTATAGAATAGCTGGAAGCTTTTCCATTCCACAGCGGGTTCAACCGGTGAATAAAAAGTTTTTATGCAACATCGATGAAAAATCGTTTATTTATGACCGGTGAGGTGGATTGACATAAAATATTTGCTCCTCTCTCTCGAATATTAGGGCAACGCTGACGATGAAATGGGAAACACATATGATTACATTTTTCGAATTGTTTCCGTTTATTTTACCTTGACGGAATTTCATAAGAATTTATGAAACTTCAGGAGCTGAAATAGCATATTGTCGAATTGCACAGAAGTTTGATAAATGTACAGAAGTGCTTTCTAGTTTTGCAGCATGTAAGGGTGGCTTGGTTTCATTCATCTGAGATGATTATTAGTGCCTAAAGTAGAGAACCAATTTAACGCTAGGTACCCCCATAAAGGGGCAAACATTTGTTTATGAAAGAATAATATAACGGTTTTTACCTGACATTTTCGTGTTTTTGAATGTATATTTTATGGAACATAGAATTCTGTGGTTTGCCAGCAATATCTGCTTTCATTTCCATCGCAACATGTCGCGGCAAAACAGACAAAAGAAGCCGTTCCTGCAACAGAAAAATTATTTGTATTGAGATGAAAAGGGCCGAAAAAACATTAGTTTTTGCACTTTCATTTTTTAAAATACTCAATTTCACATAATTTTGTTCCCCTGTTTTAGTACGAGGTATCCAAAGTTTTCTACAAATTACACGGGAAACGAGAGAGAAAGAATGAGAGGCTTTAGTCTTCGTTCTGCTGTACGCATATTTATTGACATTTCATTAATCTAACGGCACGAGAACAGAAATTCCACAAATTTCGAGGTCCCAGCATTCTGCGCAAGTGTGCAAACATGCACTGGCCGCATTTTAAAACAAACAGCTATTATGCATAACTTGTTTGCACTGTAATCGTATGATTTATTTGCAAATTTTCACAGTCCTCGCACTAAAATTGGGCTTTTTAGGGGGGATATTTTCAAATTTGAACTAAAAACGCTTAAACCAACAAAGTCGAAATTAAAACCGATTTTTTGTTTCATGCGCACTCTGAAAGTTTCGTCGATAGAGAACGAGCGATTTTCTGCTGCAGTTGTACTTGGCATACAAACGTTGATTGCGTTCGATTCTAGGAGAGAGGCTCCTGAATATTTTATTGTCAATTCATTTGACGTTGGTAAACATGAAGCACGATGGGGAGCCAAGACGAGAGAAAGAGCTTTTCTCACTGGTGGAAGATAAATAAAACTCAACTGCACTTATCTTGGGTAACTGAGGGTAGCCCAAAAGTCTCCCTCACTGCTCTCGGTCGGTCCGATAGAACGATCATCGATTGAGGCAATTTGAAACTTCAAAAATCTATCAGTGATTTAAACGAGGTTTTCACGTGAAGTTATAGTCATGTGGGAAATTCGTTTTTGAACCCTCGCTGTTTAATACTCGAAAATTACGCATTTACGAGGATGTATTCAGATAAAAATAACACGGTAAGTTAAGAAGTTGTAATCGAGGAACAATGCTCGAAATAAGAAGCGATAGTAGTCACAGGTTGCTTATAAACTTAGTAGAAAACCATAGAAAAGCTGACCTTGGCTACTTCTTATAGAAGTTTTGATAAATATGGAATAATGGATTATTTTTTTGATTATTTTTCTGTGAATTTCTTTGAAAGAATAATAAAGGAGAGGCTCGTGCGCTGGAAGGAATATAAGTGTGCGTCCAGTTTTTCCGACAAAAATGGAATGTAAAACTGAGCTGGGGCTGAAACGGGGGTGGGGGAGAATTTGAAGAGGAAAGACGGGAGGTCTGAGAGGTTCCCTCAATATTGTGTGAATTAGTTACCCGTAGATCGGAATTTTCGATTGTTTCATATAGTAAAGTATCAGTTTTTCTCCTTTTATTTTTAAAAAATCCTATTCTTATCTTCAGATTAGTCCCTAATTAAAGGTAGGAGTTTTATGTTTTCCAGTCAAAAATTCAAAAAGAGTTACGCGACGTTTAGCGCATATTCAATCTAGCACCAAATATGTATATCGTCGATGATTTCCCAAGATAGAGAAAAGAGAAATCCTCCAAAACTGGGGGTGAAGGGCGCCCACTTCGCCCCGCATGCGCACGCCACCACAGTGGATAGCCTCAGAATCAACTGACGCCCTATGCGTTATTTGATGTTCCAGTTCCCGACCATGGAGTCGCTGTGTTTTATCTTGTATCGGTGTGTGCAGACTTCACTAGATTAAATATGTTGAACGATGGGGCAGCTGCCATTTTGAAGTTTTAAATGACTGAGCGGTTGCACATTTAAGAAAGGTACACAGGAGGAGAGTGCTTGAAAATTATCGCATATTTTGGCACATTTGGAGCAGGTATAGGGCTCGTTTGCCGTAAAAACGTTTTATTATATTTAGAGAGACGTTACAATGTTCAGGTTAAAATAAGCGTCGGTATGCACTACCTATCACTCGATGCAAAAAGCGGGCAACTTCAACTCATCAATCATAAAAAACGACAAGCGGTTGTTTTTTCAGTGCATATCATACTTACGTGGATGTGCTACATAGCGTGGAGTCTTGTCGCTTCAAAGGGGGTTGTTGGAACGTAAATATCGGACATCTTTTGGGCACTTACGGTTAAGTACGCATGTTTTTGAAGGAAAATGCTGTTTCAACCTGACCATCTTTTCGAATAATAATTGATTTCTTCACCTTCAACTTTTTTCATACATGTTATTGGACAAACCAGGCCGTGTAGTTTTTGTTTTTTTTTTTAAAAAAAAAAAAAATAAAATAAAAAATATGATACTCGTACATGCAAACGCGGCATTTTGTTGAATTAAATTGCTCTGGCATAGGTACTATGAGGAAATAATATTGTGTCAGAAAAATTATGTTTGAGGACGAATATTAATCTCTCCGGACCTTCTCCTCTACCGATAATTGTGTAAAACAGTGTAATTTATATAAAAAAGCGACTCTAAGATAAGCATGAGTGGCGCTTATGCTGAGCGCTGAATATTTTTTCCTTGAACTAGGTACCAAAATAAAAATATGTGGTTACGCATGCTCTCAAAATCTTCAGATTTTAGGGCTTACAAAGTCGAACTTGTAGGTGTCTCCTTCAAATCAGTTACTCCTTGAGGGGGGGACAGGGTGCTGTTGGTGAGGAGAGTCTCCTTTTTAACTTTCTGGTGTATCTCCCTGCATTTTTATTAATCTACTGACATGCTTCTGCCCAGGTATTAAGATCTAAACAATGGTGTATAGCAAGAAAGAATGATAAGCCGCGATTGATGCTGTACAACATGGAGCTTCTGTAAACAGAGCCGCTTTAGATCACAATGACCCGAGAACGACTCTGCATTCGTATTTTTTATTGAGGGATGAACCAGGTTTTGTTTTTGACAAATGCTGAATTCTCATTGAGTGAAAGTAATTACATTTATTGAGAACGGGCTGCCAAGTGATAAAAATGATTTTTCAATTTCAATTTTTTGCTGCAATGAGTTTTATAGCAATATATCATACCTTGGGCAGTCTGTTCTACATTTAAAATAGGCAGCAAGAATTTTTGATCTTCTACATTTGTTCCTTCTAGTGCTTCCCCAGTGCTTTATTTATTTCTAGGAAGGCTTGCAATATTAAAGTTAGGTTTTTGAAAATTTCTCTTGATATCTCTACACGATGAATAAGCTAACATTCATATGCTGATTTTCTTTCTCAATACGCATCATCTCTTCTCTAATTTTCATCTCTTTTCTCAAATTGACTTGCTGAACTATCAGCCAAGGAGTTCAAATCCCTCTTGATATCTGAAACATGATCAACAAGCTAACGTTCATATGCTCTTTTTCTCTCTCAGTCAGTGAATTATTTATCACTTTCCTGAAACTAAATTGTTATGAACTATCAACAAAGAAATATGTACCTATTTTAAAAAGAAAGGAAGAAAAAGAAATCTTGTTCAGAAATTGACACAAGATAATTCATTCAAGGTTTAAAATTTTGCTGGAAAGTTTTTCTTTTCTATGTACTTTAAAGGTGAATTTTCAGCTGTAGTTCCGAAAAAATCCACCACGTCGCGGACAGCGGCGCACATTGGTTCCAGAGCCCGATTTAGGCGGCATTAATTCGAAANGACAATTTTGTTTTAACAAATTTTTGTTTTACATTGAAAAAAAACCTTTTTTTTCAGTGCAGCTTTTTGACTGAATATCCAAATTAGAGTAGTTCCATTTTAAGAGACTAAAAAGTAGGTAACTTCTGTTTAATAAATATTTTGTTTCGTTCCTCTTTATTCAAGTGCAATTTCTTATTTTTTCGTCTTTTCCGCTGATATTTCAAAAATCCCGCCGAAAAATTGAGGTTAGATTGATGTAATCAAATGGGTGACGGGTATTGGGGTCAGGATGATGGAGATAGGCAAAAAGTGCCGGAAACTGGTACTTTTCGTCATTTTTTCGTGTTTCTTCCGTGGTTGAGTTAATACTTGACCGATTTTAATGAACTTGGTCACTAATGAAGGCCAAAGTAATTCTACGCACAGATAATACAACAAATTGTATGTACAGGTATACAAACAGGTATTTACAGGCTCTCAAAGTTCGCAAGGTGCTTAAGGTGCCGGGTAATGGGTGGTTTACCTTACCATGAATCAAAATGAATAACAAATCGAAGGTAAAACTGCAGAAATTAAAATCTCGGATTTGCGACGTTGCGGACATTTCCTGCATGAAAAATTATTAAACGACATTTCTTGGAAACTTTGATGACTTTTCTTCTCCAGGTGAAGAATACTCGAAAATTTCAAATCATTATGTTGGTTTAATCTCCATTTTCTGGAAATAAAATAGGAGATTTTGAAACCCCGAAACCGACGATACGCATTTTTGCAATTGCAGCGTCGGAAAAGGTTTCATCCAATAAGATTTTTTGCAGTGTTAAGAACTCTATTCTTATAACCTCTGACTTGATATTTTCAGTAAAATCCTTGGAGTTATCTGCTCTGCGTAAAAAGAGCTGTACCCGCAGTTCCAGCTATAGAAAACTCTAAGTTGGTGGAGCAGAAAGCACTCAGTAAATCGATACATAGAGCCATTGCAGAAAATTAAAAAATAAAAAGAATGGTACTGCCTATTCTCTTCTTTGACTGCAGTTTCCGGTTTGAGCTGTTGAACGCATGCCAACAAGGGGCGAGGCAAAAACGTTACAATGTTGCAATGTTTGAAACGTACTTACTTCGACCCCACAATTTCTTAGTTCAAAGTTTTTTTCCATTACACAATCTGCCGACACAGAAAGATCGTACTATTTCTTTTATCAAGTCCTCGGCGACTAGTTTCTCAATCTGGAACTCACTCGACCCTCAAAACTTTGTCACAGCTGATATAATGGGGAAGTTCGAAGGTTTAACAATGCGGTATATCAGGATGCTTTTAACTGCTGCTAATGAAAAATGAGGTTAAAAACACGTAAGTTTGTATTGTCCATCTTGGCTCGCTCTTAGCTATATCGAGTTCAGAGACGAACCATCAGCGTCGCGTCGTTGCCCGTCTATTTATGTAAATAGTG